CATCCACGTGGTGAAGGAGAAGCTCTTCCCACGCTGCTCGGGAGCTTCGTGGACCAAGTGCTGCAGAAGCAGAAGCAGAAGTACAAGGTGGAGCTGCGTCCCACCACCCTCTCGGAGGAGAGGCACCTGAGGGACCTGGAGCTGAAGAGCTGCACCTCCCACATGCTGAAGCTCCTGGCGATCAAGTGGCTTCCTGAAATCTACTCTGACCTGCTGAACCGCCACTGGCACAACTCCATCCGGCAGCAGCTCCGTAGGTAGCCCGGCATCTCCTGGGGATGTGTCCCTGGGGCTCCCCCAGGGATGTTCCAGCTGCACTTGCCTTCCAGGTGCTGCTGCTGCGGGGGAGCATCCAAAGGTGCCTCAGCATCCCTGTCCTACCAAGGGTTCTGCCCAGCTTTTCCTCTGTGGGCTGTGGAGGGGGCAAGTTTGAACTGGAAGGGAGAAAACTCATCCTGGGGGTATTGAGGAGGTTTCAGTCAGTTCCAGGCCACCTCTGTATGGTAGACAGGTAAAAGAATTACAAAAGAATTGCTCTGCTAAATGGCCAAAACTAGCCTGTCACTTCTTCTCAGTGTACTTACAAGTTCCCATGTGAAGCTATTTTGTAAATGGGAGTTTGTTAACACAACAGTGTATTCTGAGGGCCAAAAACAAATGCACCTGCAATAACAAGGGATTTATACCATGAGAATCAGTAGAAAAAGGAATGTAAGCTAACTAAACATCCTGAAGTTTGATAGATATGCAAGGTACCATGTACTGACCAATAAACTAAGTGTAAAAGTGTTGTCAACCAATGAAATATGACACAGGGAGTTCTGATAACCCTATAAAATATGACCTATACAATAAAGATTCAGCTTTCTGCATGGTGAAAATGGAGTCACAGCCAATTTATTCCAACATAAGATGACCCTGAAGATGCAAGACAACAGCCTGTCACAAAAGAAGAAGGTAAAAGAGCCAAGCTGACTGCGGGATGGGGCAGTGAGATGGGATTTAGAGATGGAATATACAAGGTTATGAAAGGAAGATTGCACCTGGCTGTGAGTACGTCTGAGGCAGTAACGAGCAGCAGCCTGCAGCAAGACGAGACACAGCACACGAACACAACCACCAGCAGCATCACCAGCTGCAGGATTAGCACAAAAAGAAATTCAAGCTGCAAATATGCAAAGTAGGAAAAGGCTATGGCTACAGACAGCAACAGGAACAGTGTGGAACAAGCAAAGGCAAGAACCAGCCATTGAAGCAGAACCTGGGCAGTGAGTGCAAGTGGCTGCAGACAGTGCGGAAAGCACAGAAGCGAACACAACTCCTGGGAGAAAGCACACGGCTGTCGGAGTCCAGAACATTCCTCTGGCTGGCCTGGCTGTCTCAAGACCCTAGCAGGGGTCTCAGAGACCCTGGCAAGAAGTCAAAGACATCTGTGGCTCCAATTTTAGCCCATGGAAAGTTGTCAACTGTGGATGAGGAATTACAAAACACAAGGGTTTTAGTAGCGTGATGTTTGAATTAACACAGGGTGGAAAAATTTTGGGATCTTTAGAATGGGGTTCAAGGGGATACAAGATGGAGGAATCTCGGCATGTCCTAGACATTTTCTCCTTCTTCTTGTCCTCCACATCTTGGTGTGATCATGGCACTTTTCTATTTGTTTAAGGTAGAGATCCACTGTCTAACATAGGTGATGGGAATTGGTGAAGAAATTGTAAACATAAACACGTAGTTTTGAGTGTATAATGTGGGAGCTGCCCAGGCTCCAGGCCAGACTGCCATGACTTCTGTACTAGGCGGACCACGGCAGGTCAGAGAGAAAATATTATAGATAAGAAGAAATAAACAACCTTGAAAAAGCAACTGAAAGCATTCCAAGACTCCTTCTTCCGCTGCCTTTGGGCTAAGGAAGCAAAGACTCTTTAGGATCTCTCTTGGGGTCACCCTGACCTCAGGAACCCCAAGAGAGAGGAGAAATCGACACCCGTGAGAACGCAAATGCAAACCCAGTCACCGAACCCTACGCGGTCCTGAACCACAGAGCACACGCGGCTCCGCTCCTTATCAAAGAGAGTCACAGAAGATGAGGCAGCCTAAAAGCTGCTGAGGGGAGAAGGGTCCAGCAAGTCATGGGGACAACGTTCTCAAGAACCGTGGTGAATGAAGGGTCAGGAACTGGAAAATACATTGCATCTGTTGAGGTGTGGGGAGACAGGCTACAGAATAGAACCGTGATGTGGAAATGGTACGCGGGAGCAGCAGCCATGTGGAAATATATGCATCACAGAAAGAAAGGCAAACTAGGAGTAAAACGAGGAAAAATATGTTGGAAAAACTAGAAATAAAGTACAATAGGTATATGCTGATACCTTTGTTACTGTGCTGTGTGGTCCAGGGGATGGTTTCCTATTGCAGTCCGTAGTGGTGGTGGACACAACATTCTCTGAGAGCGTCTTGCACCAATGAGTGGGAGCCACGAGAGCACCAGGACACACACACAGACAGACAGACACGCACGCACAGACACACAGACAGACACACACACAGACACACACACACAGAGACACACACACACAGATACACACACACACAGACACACACACAGACACACACACACACACACACACACAGACACACAGACACACAGACACACACAGACACAGAGACACACATACACACACACACACATACACAGACGCATAGGGCAGCTCAGCAGTGAGGACACGGGTGGGTCCAGGCATAGAGTTCCTATGTGCTTTATTTCAGGCAACGCTGAAGGGTTCCAGGGACCAAAGACAAAGACAAAAGAGGGTCTAGGGTATAAATACAGAGAAAGAGAGGGCAGAGAAGAGCATCAGGGATCCAAAGGTTAGGGGTGGTACACTGGGAAGGGACCACTAGGGAATGCCAGGGTGGCTAGGTGGGGTTACAGACACCAATAGGATTACAAGGAGTGGAGAATTTATAAGAACTTGAACATATTAGGGTAAAATGGGTATGGAAGGCCAAGGGACAAGGGGGAAGAGTGCACTAGGACAAATTAACATAGTGCTGCAGAGCAGCACCATGGGGGAAGCCTGAGCTGTGAGGAATGCCCGGAGATTACTGTGTGTTTCCCCAGGGTATTGCTACCACCCTTTCCCTGGGAGGCTCACAGGCCTCCACAGTCCCCAGTTTGGCAAAGGTATTTAGCAGAGCTCAAGCCTACACCCCGGCAGCGGGACAGCACCTCTGTGTGTGTGTGTGTGTGTCCCTGCATGCAGACGCTCAGGAGCACGCGGCCATATGTCAGACTTTTTCTCTTCCATCCCAGAGCCGGACGTGTTGGTAGGGACAGTGAGAGTCGAACTGCGTGGAGAAAAAAACAAACAACTGGGAGCCCAGAAATAGAACTTAGTTGCATGCACTTGAAAAATTACCTCTGGCACGATTAAGTTCCCTCCCCCAGATGGCACGGACAGGCAGTGCAGGGTCGGCAGGTTTCCGCTCTCTGGGGAACCGTGGTGAGTGCAGGGGGGCAATGGGTGGTGGTGTGGTGGCTGTTTGAGCAGGTCTTGTCCTACATAAATATCCCAAGCCCCAGATGGCATGGAAATTGAGTGCAACAGCCCTGTGCAGAACACGTAAACAAGTGGCTGGACAGTATTTTTGCAGCAAAGCTTCTTTCCAGCCCTGGCAACTCTACGTGATGGGCCCCTCGGTCGGCAGTCCCCCACAGGACTCACGGACTTCAAAACAGAAGAGGAAAGCCATGGATGCTTTGTGCCTTTCTAGCGTTTTCTACGTTTGTCTTTTGGTATTTTCCCCCTTATGTTGTGCAGTTCTGAGGGTTTGGTTTTTATTGTCTTTTCCCTCCTCTTTTTCAACTGCAAGTGTTTTGTTCAGAACAGAGCTGCAGAGGCGCAGGGCAGCACCACAACGGGTCTGTATGTCCTCCACTGCCACCGCTGCCCAGTCATTCTCTGCGTTAAGAATTTAATCCCAATGGATGTGGCATGGTACAGCAGGCGTGGTTCACAGTCGCAGCATAGTGCCACAGAGTTTTCCCTTACCTAGTTGGCGCAGTGGTGGCACAGGACAACTCAGCCCACAATTTTCTGGGTGGTGCCTGCCTATCTCTTGGAGCCAGCTGATCTACATTTAATTGCTGTCCATCTAAGACACCTGTTGTAGATATGAGGAGGCATGGCTGGCCTCTCCTCACCCTGCCCTGGTGTGGAGGACCTCCCCCCACCCCTCACTGCTGCAGCTTGGCTGCTGCAGTTCCTATATTTTGGTTTTTTGAGCAGTGGAATGATGTTGGCACAGCGAGCCAGGACCAGGTAATAAGTGACATGGACTCTCAAGATATTCACAAAAGGCTAATAATCTTTATTAAGAAATCCATGGTATTTATACCCTACTTCATTACAGGTAGACCTAACTGGTCCTTTAATTAAAACACCATCACCATTGGCTAATTAAGAAACCACCCTTTGGTAAACAAATCTCCATAACACATTCCACATGTTCACAACATCAGGTGCAGCAAGTTAAGATAAGAATTATTTAGAATTCTTTCTCTCCGGCTCCCCTAAAGTTTCCTAGGCCGATTCTGGGAAAACTTATCTAGCTTCTCTCTCTCTGACCAGGGAGCTGCTTCTACAGCTCGTTTTTAAGAGAAAACCCAGGTGTTTCCTCTCCCTTCTTCAAATAAACTGTATAGCCACACTAAAACACTGAATCATTATCACCCCAGCATGTGTTACAGCATAAGAGGATCATTTTATACAGCAGGAAAGCTTTAACAGATCAAGCTTTAGCTACCTACAGAAACTAAAGCTATAGGAAGGGGGCTACATTCTTACCCTTAGGTGCTGGGCAATGGGGAATCAGCAAAGTCAGGGAACTTGCTAAAGAATAATTAATTCCCCTATGAAATGTTTCCAGGTTGTCTCAGTGTCTTCTCTCTGCTTGGGAACTGTCCTATGCAGAAGAATTAGTGTATGCATACTGGAGTTGTGAACTGCTGTGTTACAAATGCCATCCTCCTGTACAGCCAATATTAGAAATCCTTCTGCATGAAGTCCAATCCTTTTGCAGTCCATTTCGCTACCTCTCAAGGAGCAAATTCAGTCCTTCCTCCTCTTTTTGCTCTGATGCTCATGTTCCTTAGGGCCGCTGCTGCCTGATGGCTGTTTAGAACCACCGTGTTGCTTGGCTTCTTCCAGAAACTTGTCCAAACCAAATGGATCCTCCTCAAATTGAACTGGTCCATCTCTGCCCCTTCCTCCGGTGTTACGATCTGAGTTAGAAAACTCTTTGTCAGGAGCAAACCTGCTGATCGTTATTTGAGCCTCTAGATCATCACCATACATGTCCTTATCCATATTTTTACTTGGCCTGTAGATGTTCTGGGCCATATCCTTGCCACTTCTCCATGGCTGGTCATAAACATTATAAATTTCATCGTCTCCACCAGCAAAGCCACTGTCCATACCCTTGCTCTGGTTGAACAGCCTCTGGTCATATTGGATTTCATTGGATGGCCTGTGGTTGGGTACCCCCAGGGCAATAACTTCACTGATATCTCTGTTCTCATTCCTTTGCAGCTTTGACCTTTTATCAGGAGCTGCCCGGGAAAGATTTCTGTCATGTTGCCTTTCTTTGCGCCGGTCACGTCTGATTTCATCCCTTTCTCTAGCTGCTCCATCCTCTTTTTCAACACGTGTTTTGATCCCTGCTCTTCTCTCCCTGGCTTTCTGAGCCATTTCTCGGAGCTTTTCCTCGTGTTTCTCCTTTTCTTTCTGAGCCATTTTCCTCTCCAACTGGGCACGCATCTCTACTGCCTCACGAGCCTTTCTGTCAGCAATATAGAGCGCCTCAGCAAGTTTGGCAAAGTTTTCATTAATATGAACAGCCTGCAATCCTCTGCCATCTGCAGCCAGACGCTTCTCCAAGGGAACGGTGTAACCCTTTGCGTTCTTCCAGTTTGAAATGCATGGAGGAATTTTCCACTCTTGCTGCTCTCTCACAGTCATCTTTCTACTCGGAGAGTGCATTACAGGTGCTGGAGGAGATGGTGGTCCTCGTGGAATCTTCTTGTTGATTTTGAATCTTGGAGGCTCCATAGGGTCCTTCTGCATTTCCACTACCCGAATAACTCTCTGCCTTGCTCCAGAGTTGAATGCAGCTCCTTGCTGAGATGGTGTGTACCGAATGTACTGTGCCAGAGCTGGCTCGTCAGCAGCTCGAACTGGCATGGCTGCTGCAACTTTTTGGGAGACTAATTTCTCCAAGGCTGCTCTTGTCTTCTTTGTTACCTCTCTAATTGCCTTGTCATCTGGTCTTTGCAGTCCAGGATCACCCACATTCATGACTTCTTTTGGCACAAGATCTGTGTACTTTGTGTAAATAACCTTGTCCTTTGACTGTCCTTGTCGAGCAATTGCATCATATTTTATTTTTCCTTCTGCATCCACCTGAAGAGCCAAAGCATTGGAAATTTTCTTCTTTTGGCCCATATCCAATGGATATTGGGCCACGTGAATTTCTGGGAAGGCACCCCCATCTCCAAAATCCTCTAGCACCTGTGGTATCCATCCCTTCCGGTCACCATATGGGGGAGGTTCCCTTTGTGAGGAGGCCAGAGCACTCTGCCTGGATCTCTGAGCTCTTGCTCTTTCTTCTAGTTCCAGATGATCTGGGGACAGTTGGGTTGGAGCTGGCAAAAAGCTGCTGAGGGCCATTCTGACCGTGTACGCCGTCCACTCAGCTCCTGCGCCCAGCCCGTGGCTCTCCTCTCAAGATTATTTGCAGCAATTATTTTTAAGTTCTTAACTAAGTTTTAGAACCTTGAATTTTATCTGCAGCAGTTCTTTCAAGTTTAGAAATAATTAGCTCAGTAGTAAAATTAATAAAAAATTAGTAAATTACTAAAAAAATTTACTGCTTAAACAGACAAAGTCCAAATACAACCTGACAGCCTGTGGGTCAGGGTGCTGGCACCAGGCCGATGAAATGGTGGCTCAGCCCTCCTGCAGTGACAGCTGTGGTTCTGTGTAAGCAGGGATCCTGCAGAAGGGTGGAGGACTCCTTAGAAGGTCGAGTGGTGAAGGAGAAGGGTCTGGTCTCTCTCTGGGAATGCAGTGGAAAAGGCTGCCTGTGGTGTTCAAAGTCTCTGATTATATCCAGGTAGGAATGCTTGGCTCCACCCCCTGGGCAGAGCATCTCACAATGGGATGATGTAATCTTATCAGTCATGCAGTGACACTCAATGGCCCATTAACAGAAGATATCTCCCCAGAATGAGGATGGGTCATGGAAGAGATAAGGAACACTGCCCCGCCTGGTTTTAACAGATAGTGACAGAATACATGCTTTTGGTAACATCTTGCATTGCAGTCTAAAACAGTTAAATACTACTTTTCTATATAGTAAGTTTGAATGGTGTTTTGCTGATTCACAGCTTTGCAAAGTGCCTGGCAAAGTTTTTCTGGACAAATCACTTACCATGTACCAAGCCATAGATTGCTGAAGTTAAGTGGAAAAAAACCGCATTTCCTCTAAAACCTCTAAATAGCTGAACACCCTTAAAAGGTGCTACAGTGTTTACTGACGGCTCTGGGAAAATAGGAAAAGCCCTTGTGACATGGAAAGAGGAAGGCGAGTGGCAAATGTTGGAGGGTCATGAAAATGGATCACTGCAGTTAGAACGGCGTGCTGTAGCTATGGCTTTCCAAAGTTTTCCCCACATTCCTCTAAATGCTGTGACTGACTCTGCCTATGGTGCTGATATCACACAGAGATGAGATCCAGCACTACTAGAGGAAATCGACAGTGCAAAACTATCTGACTCCCTAAAAACCCTGCGCCATACCATCCTGGCCAGAACTTGCCCTATTACATGCTACACCTCAGAAGTCACAACAAATTTACCATATTTCATCACAGAGCGCAGTGCTCGAGCAGACCGGCTAGCTGGCTCTGCTTGGACAGCACCACAGCCAGACATGCCAGCACAAGCAAAGGCATCACCTGATTTCTTCCACCAAGGTGTTCTGGCCTTACAAGGGCAATCCCAGCTGTCAGACACAGAGGCTCATAACATTGTTAGCACCTGCACTGACTGCCAAGGCCACACTGCACCACTGCAGATGGGGATGAACCCTCGTGGACTACATGCTTTGCAAGTCTGGCAAAGTGATATCACACACATCCCTGAATTTGGATGTCTAAAAGATGTACATTTACCCATTAATACTTTTTCATCAGCAATATGGGCTACAGCACACACAGGCGAAAGGGGTCAGGCTGCCATCACACATTGGCGTTCAGCCTCTGCTGCTTTAGGTATCCCCTTCCCCTGTCCATCAAAACAGACAATGGTCCTGTTTGCACTTCACAGAAAACAAGACACTTCCTACAGTTCTGGAGTGTGTCACACCACACTGGTATTCCCAAACCAGCACAGGACAAGCCATAGTGAAAAGAGCACATGGAACTTGAGAATGGAAACTTGAAAAGCAAAAGGGAGGAATGTGTTGTGAATCCCCACAGGGCGGAGTAGCTAAAGCTATCTATACACTAAATCATTTGAGAGTATTAGAAAAGTCGCAGAACCCAGTCATTTTAAATCACTTTCTATCACTACAATCTGGCAATGATCAAACCCAAGGTAATGGTGTGAGACCTTCTCACCAATAGCGGGGGAGGCGCGTGGGATCTCATCACCTGTAAGGGCGGGGACATGCGTGTGTTTCAACAGACACAGGAACGCATTGGGTACCTGCCACATGTGTCCCTCTGGTGCTGTTGAGGCAGGGACAGGAATGAAGAGACTTCGTCTTCAGAAGGCACAGAAGGAACTTTATTAACAAGTAGCATTCCTCTTTGATAACCAGGATCGCTAAGGTGAAATATCATTGGTCTCAAAGTGAAAATCTTTCACACAATTGGTACACTGGACTTAGATCAGTGTGGCACAACATATCGATAAACAATATGAACGGAAAGCAAGATAATACATTTTTTACATTCCTCCTGGACAGTTTCCCAGGCTTAGCCCGGCAGAAATCTTTCTCTTTTTCTCTCTGACTGAACTGAGAATATCCACATCTCTCCTGCCTGGGGCCACAAGCTGCATTCTCCAATAGCTCCTCAAGAGACGTGGTGGAGCCATGTGCAGAACAGTGATGGAGACAACTTGTTCACCTCCCTCACGGACATCTGGGACGATTGAAGCTATGGCTCATTTCAGGACTCTATTTATTTACAAAATGTTTTTCTGTTTACAAATTAGTTTTGTGTTTAAAAATTGGTTTTCTAGAAGTTGGGTATTCTCTAATGGCCCTAAGGGTTAAGTGGTTTCATTTTTAAGTGGTAAGTTGTAACTCTAAGTAGTTAACCTGTGGCCTGTTAGCCTGAAGGATTGTGATCTTGCCTAAGAGCTCCTGGAAGTGAGTGCTACAACTCCAGGGGTCCATGAGACACATCTCTGGCTGAGGGGTTCTATGCTTGTCAAATTAGGTAAAAGGCCTCCTTCAAATTAGAGCCCTGCTGCCTTCTGTCACCCTGGCTGCAAAGGGCCCTTGCAGGTAGGATAACAGAGAACACTTTGCAATTGTAATAAGAAGGAAAGGAGGAATTGTCACAGTACAGCTAGTCTGTAACTGGACAAGGTAACACAAATCCAATTCAGCTGGCCTGGTTTGTTCCAGAAACAGATAAACAGGTCCCTGGATAGGTTAGACTCCAACCTCTACAGGGGACCCTCAGCCAAGCCTGTTCAAGCCTGGGTACAGATGCACCACTGGCCAGAGAGCAGGTTGGAGAGAGATCCCAACCACTCAGCTGTTTAAAGCCATGGGAGTCTCAAACCCCCTACTTAAAAAATCTTGCATAATAAGCCATCACTGTTGTCATATGGATCTCTGAGAGTTCATGTTGTCCCAGTCTCCAACCAACAACCTCATGTAACACCTCTTCTCTTTGATTTGCTTCCCCATAAAGCCATGCTTTAGGTTCAGGAGTGATCAGCTACTCAACTGATCCCCCGGTGACAGGGAGAGGTGGGATTTAAAGGTCACCTGCTGCCACAAACCCCACAGCTTCCCTGGTTTTACACACACAGCAGCACTCCAAAGCGATCTGCGATATCATTGAGGTGTTTATAAAGTTTGTAGGGACATGATGCTGACCTGGAGGGGAAACCCTGCTGGTAGAGCTGAAGTAAAAGCTCTCGGCTTGCCTAAAATAGAGACACCAGGCCTGGAGACGAAGTAAAAATTGTGGTTGGGAAGAGGCAAAAGAGAGCTCCTGGCACTGAGGCTGGCATAGGGACTGCAGAGGCAGAGCCAAGGCAGCACAGAAATAAAGATCTGAAATAAAGGCTCTGGGGCACTCGGCAGGCACAGCAGCAGCTGCAGGCAGAGCTGTAGGGCTGGAGCTGAGATGGAGCCCTGTGGGGCAGGGGCAGGGCTGGAACAAACACTCCAGAGCAGGATCTGAAATAAAACCCAGGCTGCTGGAAGGAGAAGCACTGTGAAACTGAAAAGTGACTGTGGAGCTGGCCTGCACATTTTTGCTTTTTTAACTCCCTAGCACTAGGGCTGTTAGCCCAGAGCTGGAGAGGACCAAGCCCAGCTCACAGGCACCAGTTAGAGCAGCAGCACAGGGCTGTGGTGGTACTGGGAGCCCAGGAGGGAGGGAGGCTCAACACCACGCCCTCAGCAAACACACATCCTTCACAACTGGGATTCACGGTCTACAAACAGTTTATTTAAGATACAAAATTATCACTTTAGACACCTGAGTCTGCATTCTGCCCAGGGAGCACCTGGCAGCTGCAGCCACAAGATCAGGGAGAGCTTCTCAGCATCTCCTTCCCACCTACAGCCCCTCTCCCAGCGCCCCCAGCTGCTGCTGCTTCTCTCCTCAGGCAGAAGTGCTCTGCCACTCAAAGCGACCATCCTCAGGGTCCTGCAAGGCAGAGGGAAGAAGTCACTTTAAACAGCTCCAGGGAAGGCAGGAATGAGGGTCCCTTCCCTCCAGCTCCCCACAGGTTTCTCCAGCCCCAGAGATCAGCAGCAGCAGGTAACAGAAGAACCTGTGAGCTGCAGAAACAGCAGCTCCCAGGCACAGAAGAAAAGCCAAGGGCTGCAAAGGCCTCTCACCTCTGTCCAGAAGCCCTGGTTATCCATTTCCAACGTCTGCATCCCCACTTCAGGGTCTCTCCTTTCCCAAAGGGCTCTTCCATCCTGCCAGCCCAGCCTCTTGGTCCCCAGGCACTGGGGAGGAGAGCACAGGGGCTGCAGCCCTACCTGGCCCCACAGAGCTCCTCAGCCCACCCCACACAAGGGCCCAGCTGCTGGTGCAGCCCAGCAGACAGAACTCGCCCTTACCACGAGCACGACGGGCGCAGCGATGATGCAGAGGCCACCGATGACCATGATGGCCACTCCGTAGGCTGGGAAGCCCAGCTGGGGCCTGGGAGGGTCCAGGGTGTCCTCTGGAGCAGAGCACAGCTTTTAGAGCCTGGGGCAGCCAGCTCTGCCCCACGGGGTGCCAGCCACCCCCTCTGCTCCAGGACAAACACAGGGGATTGCAGAACACCCGCTCCACGCCCTCCATGCCTTTTCCTCCCACCCTACACCAGTCCTGCAGCAGAAGGTCTCCAGCCCCCCTGCCCCAGGCTATGCAGAGGGCAAGGGCACAGCTGCTGCTGACATTTTCCTTTCTGCTCCCCACAC